GGCCAAAACCAGAGGGGCCCAGCATGCACCTCACTACTCAGACATAAAGGAATCTCTTTCTCTGGATTCCAGGGCCCCTTTTTGCCTCTTGACTGATAAACATTTCTAAAGCTGTGCTGTCATTACCTCCCCACCACGACTGAACTTTCTGATCCTCTCTGCTGGAAGTTAATGCTGATCCAAACAGCAATATGTCTGTGGGGATTTACTACCAAATGTTATTCTTGCTCCACGAGCTGCATCATGTATAGCAGCTTTTCCTGAGCATGCATGCCCCTCTTTCTATTGGGGCTCTACTAATTAAATCTTTCCATACAGACTTTCTCCACAAGTTTGGAGGAGGTAAGCAAACAGCCAGCCACTGGCACCCTCCACATGCCCCCCTGCTACGTCCTTAAATAGATATTGGCTCTATTCCTGACCATGTGAGTGAACAGTGGGCATTTGCTCCTCCATTACCAGTAAAGCTGTTTCTTCACTGTTTGCTCTGCATCCTTGCTAATAACATCTGTTTGCTCTGTTTAATGTTTAATAGTGCGCACACAGCTTAATAATGCTAAGGCAATATAAAGAACAGGGAAGGCACAGTGCAGATTCTATACACTCACGCAAGATCCTTCTGATTCTACCGTAAGTACTCCAATATTTTTTCCAAAGAGGCTTTGAACTCATACTAGCTGCATGATATACAGTTTATTTTATGGGATTTCATTCAAGTGGGAGTGATTGTACTCGGTATACCTGTTATAATTTATCCTGTTAGTGGAGCCCTTCTTAAAATCCAAGAAGCCAACAGAAATTGGAGCACCATTGGAAAGGTTCTGTGAATGAAGGCATTTTAAAAATTACTGGAAACCTTAGGACTTGGTTAATCTAGTACTTTAAAAGAGATCCATACGCAGCGGGGGCATGAAGGGTGTGAAAGCACCTCCCCTGATACTCCAAGTAAGCATGTTCTGGCCGGCCAGGGGAAGGCTGGGGCTGATTTCCCGCTTACTTGGAGGGACCACCGGGGATGTATTCACATCCTTGCAGTCCACATTTAGAAAAAAAAAGCGCACAAACCCAGAAATCTTTATGTGCAGGCCTGTTAAAATATGGCTGGACTACACCAAAAATGTATGGGATTTTCAAGAATATGTTAGCTGAGGTTAGAGCTATGGAAACTGGGACATTCCATTCTGCACAAAATTCTGACATCCAAACAAATCATTCTGAATCAGAACAAAAAGACAAAAGTTTGAATTGTCCCATGGAACAAAGTTCTCCTCACCCCAGAAAAAAATCTTTTTCATCATCTGAAATGTTTACATTTAATTTTCTGGTATTAGTATGTTTTATATTGTTTTTATTTTACCTTCTATTATTTATAAAAGAAACAAAAACAATGCATAATCTAAAATAATTTTTAAACACTTTTAATTTATTTTCTAAATTAAACCTCATGAGAGTTGACATAACCCTTTGGTACATCCATTTTGACAAATCAGCATTTTCTAGTGGAAAAACATTTCATATGAAAATTTTCAACCACCTCTAGGAAACTTGTGCTAACATTGTTTAAAACTTGGGTCTGAAGAAATCAAGTGGATCTTTAGCAAGACTGTCCCAATGAATTGAAGCCTAACCAGAAATCTGATGCCTAGGTGGACAGATGAAGAAAAAAGGAGGAAGAGTATAAAAACAAAAAAGGACAAACTTAAAATGTTTTGACATGCAAAGAACTTTTAGAGCTGATTTATTCCTCTAAATATAACAAATGATCTGGTAGCACTTTATAGACTAACAAAACATAAAGATGGTATCATGAGCTTTCGTGGGCACAGCCCACTTCTTCAGATGACTGGAGTTATGACATTTGAAGAAGTGCCCACGAAAGCTCATGATACCATCTTTATGTTTTGTTAGTCTATAAAGTGCTACCAAACCATTTGTTGTTTTTTTCTGTAACAGACTAACTCGGCTACCCCCTGAAGCTTTCCTCTAAATATGGTGCTCTGAAAAACACAACACCATTTGCTATCTGCTTTTAATAAAGCTCATCCAAATTATAGTACTGAAAGTCAGGGACCAGTGACTTAGTTTTGATGTTCTAGACAGAGCAATCCCTTATAATCTTTATTAAGCTTTAGATAGAGTGCCATATTGTCATTTGGATCCAGATTCTACTGCAACACAAGGAAATAGCATGAGTGCTGAAGTAGAGTGTGAGTATTAAGGAATCAGATGTGATTCCCTGACTGACATCAATCCACATCAGAAGTTACTACTACAAATATACAGCTCCAATTTATGCCACTGGCATAAGGTCCCTAATTTATCTCACAGCTACAGAGGAACAACATCATCCATTCTGCTAAATTCTCTCCCAGCCGACACTCACCTGATCCCCTTTCATAACTTCCCACCCCCAAAAAACACCCCTACTGTAGGGTCGGGGTGTCTGAGTGGCACAAACTGACAGGCCCTCTCAGAGAATGACAGAGGGCTGGGGTCACTTTGAGTTTAAAGGCTCCAGCCCAGCCTCAGCCCCAACCCCAGGGCCCAGCTGTATCTAACTTTTCATCCACATGGTTATACTAAAACCAAAAGAATATATGCAAATGAACACTTGAGACATTTATTTATTAACAATTAAGTGATTATACCAATAGAATGTATATTTAAAATGTAACATCAATGGTGAGTTTCTACTGCAAGCAAAACTGTTCATTTTTTAAATGCTTTTCTGGCTTTGTGGTGTACAAACTTATTTATAATTGAAGAAAAATCTAATTCATGTGCAACATCACTCTTAATGTTAAGCATTGCAAGCCCATTCAAATGCTTTTGTCCCATTGTAGAAAGATGATGGCTCTTTACTTGTTTTAACACATTAAATGTGCATTCACATCAAGCCACTGATGCAGGGAGACTGACAAAAACACATAATGCAATTGTGATATTAGGAAATACAGTTGACAGGCCGAGATCAAATATTTCTTGAAGCAGTTCTTTTGGCTTACAGTTCAGTTTAAAGTTGGTGAAATGTATATGTTTCAGGAAGAAAATCTCATCATGGAGATCTCTTGAAATTTCATTTGTTGAAACTGTTCAGCCACTGACTATAGATTTTCATCACTTAGTTCTTTGAACTCTCAAAGGAAACCAAAAGAGTACAAATTTGTCACAGTGACTCAAATTGGCATGTAAGAGCAGATTTGATGGAGTCAATAATAAAAAAAAATGACTCAGTAAAGTCTTTCTGCATCAGATTGAGATGTTAGGCTGCAATTGGTGGAAAACTCAGATGAAATGTCAATACCCTGTGATGCTGATTTGGACTCAGAAAAGATTGTGTCCCATTGATCATGAATCTTTTGAGTATCTTTAAGAAGTTGTTCAATGTTATCCCTCTCAATATCTAATGTACCATTGCATGCTTCAATTACAAAATTAATTTTGTGGATCATTTTTAGCAGATTCATCCCCATGGACTACATTACATGCATTCAGATTTATTTGGATGTATACTCTCAGTGCAAGCCTATGCAGTGAAAGTAAGAGATTCAAGCTCACTTAAAGACTTTTTTACTGAGTCCAGACACTATGCAACTGGTTTAATGCCAACAGTTCATGCTGATCATCTTGCTGTGGACATACCATGAAGGGAAACAGGCAGATGGAGCTTCAGAATGTTCCTCTTTTGAGGACTGCTACTGAACAGGATGTACAATTGCTTGATTGTTCCAAAGTATGCGATAGCTTCCTTGCATGATTCAGCACAATCAATGCCGACAAGGTTTAGTGTGTGGTTGTCACAACTGGAGAAAATACAATTTAGATTTTGCTCAAGAAGGACTGCTTGTACTCCATTGTATTTCCCAGCCATATTGGATCCATACTGGCCAATGCAGATTTGAAAATTTAATTTGAAGCCTTCCTGAATTTCTAATACACGAGCAGCAATTTCTTTTCCAGGTGTTTTTTGTGAAATTATCAAACAAAATGAATCCTTCAATTGAAACCTTTGAATTTCCTGCAAATTTTAACATATCGAACAACCAAGGTCATCTGTTCTTTATGAGACCAGTCTGGAGTTGCATCAATAATAATTGAAAAGTACTTCACATGTCATATCTCTTCAAGAATCATTTGTACAAATGTCCCACACAGCTCTATGAACTTGTTTTGTATTCTGGTAGACAGATAATGGACTTGCATGCATCACTGTCAATATGGTCACCGTCTAATGTCTGAGGCATTATGTTATGTTATTGGCCTTAAACTCTTAACTGCTGCTTCACTCTGTTGCTTTTGCCATCTCTTACTTGTTCCACTTTCAAATCTTTGCTTCATTTTTATCATGGGGTTCTTTTAAAACACAGTAACACACAATAAATTAATTCACTAAAGGCTATTGGTTATACAAAATTGTAATTGTATATACTTTGCAGTGAATATTGTATAACAACAGTTTGGAGGTGTTATTTACTATGGCCTCATAGCCTTATTTCAAAGCATTGAAATTTTGTCTGCTAACATGTTCCTGTTGTGGTGTGTAATTAACTGGTTGATTGCCAGATTAGATATAAAATTTATTTAAAACTAGAATTAAAAAATTATTATTACAAAAAAAGCCTTTAAAGGCGAATCAGAAACTGGATGAAGAAGTAGCTTACAGCTGAGCCTGACATGGTTATTGTATACAAAGACACATAAGCAAAAACAGAAATACAAAAATCTCCTACACAGAGATAAATATCTAATTTAAAGGTAAACTCACCCTCAGACCAAGCAAAATCACTTTACAGTAACAGAATTAATTATGATTTTCAAAACTTCTAAACTATGCGAAGACTGCAAACAGTCTTTCATAACAGGGAATCACTAATGACAGAAACTACTCCAGTCTCCAATCACGCAGATGAAAACTTGGATGTGATTGAGAAATTGGTAAAGGCCTGAGGTCGCACAGGCTATGTCTACACAGCAGCATTATTAATAACATAGTGTGCATCTACACAGCAAGCCTGTAATTTCGAAATAAATTCAAAATAACAGGCTTTTTACTTTAACTTCTGTAAACCTCATTCCACAAGGAGTAAGGGAAGTGGGGGAAGAGTGCTCCTTTTCAAAATAACTGTTGTGTAGACAGCGCCAAAAGTCGAAATAAGCTATTTCATCTTAAGTTACGCAATTAGCATGGCTCAAGTTACATAGCTTATTTCAAGTTTAGCCCTGCTGTGTAGCTGTGCCCATAATAATTTAAATTAATTTTTGCAGGTATATATAGCTTCTCTGGTTGTCTCTGTTATAACTGTAAGGTGTATATTAAATAGAAATAAATTGGTAGAAAAATGTCAAAATTAGAGGCCCCTTTGTCTCCTGACACCCAGGCCAAATGGTCCTCTTTGCCGCCCCCTCCCCCCCGATAAGGCCTGCAAACTGGTTGATGTTAACTGATGATTCCAGCACAATCTTCTTCTAATCCATATCTTTTCCTTTCTATGATTGCCAGCATGGCCGGGGCTCAGAAACACTGTGACTCCCTACCATCAGCCCCATTTCCCTTTTCACTCATAATCTCCCAAATAGCTAGGAGACAAAAAACACATGAATCACAAATAGCATGGGGAAGGTAGGGACACTTCTATGCCTAATGACTCTTCCATTCTTTTGTTTTTCAAAGGAATAGATGCAAAGCAAAATGAAATCCATCCTGTTTCTGTTTCTGTCACTTGCTGGCCTTCATACTGCGGTCCAGCCTCATCATGTACCTGACCACCACGATGACAAAGATAGTCAGAAAGTGCAGCTTTGCCCAGTTGGAGCCGATGTCAGAAGTGAAAACACCACCTTTCTCCGAGTAGCTCCTAGCAATGCAGACTTTGCATTTAGATTCTACAAGCAGATTAAATCAGAAGCAGGCAACAAGAACATTTTCTTCTCTCCTCTGAGCATCGCCACTGCCTTTGCAATGCTGACATTAAGTGCTAAATCATCCACTCTGAGTCAAATTCACACAGGCCTTTCCTTTAACCTCACAGAGATTGAAGAGAGGGAAATACATGAAGGTTTTCGTGATCTCATCCTCATATTAAACCGTCCTGACAGTGAGATCCAGCTGAACATGGGAAATGCCCTTTTTGTGGACAATCAACTAAAACTACTAGAGAAGTTTCTCAAAGATGTCAAAAGTCTATATGCATCTGAAGCTTTTCAAAGTAACTTCCAGAATTCTGCCGAGGCTGAGAAACAGATCAATGATTACATTGAGAAGAAAACCCATGGGAAAATTGCCAATTTGGTGAAGAACCTTGATCCACTAACTGTAATTGTTCTTGTCAACTACATTTTCTTTAAAGGTAAGACATGTTCTACATATGGGTATTTAGCATGCATACAAGTTATGGAATTCTGATTAGTGTCTAAGAAAAAGAAACTGTTTGGTTTTTTTTTTTTTAATTAAGGGTAACTGTCAAAGTTGTTAGCTCTATGAGATCACCCAATTTGAGTCTGGACACTTGTACATTTTGTAAAGCATTTTCATGAAAGTAACAATCATCCAAATATGAAATTTTGATTAGAATTAAACATCCATATCAAGGGCACTGGAATCTTTGTAGAAGTTGGTAGGAGAGTAAGTCAAAGTATATTCCTGTTACTTTCTCCTAATACTTGAACTCCTCTTCTCCATCTCCTTCTCTCATAATCCTGCACTCCCTCATGATCCTACCCCTCTCCACCATCTCCCTGCAGAGCACTCCGAATACTGCCGGTATTTGATACAGCCAGCCTCCAACCTCGAGTGGCTGGAGCAAGTTGAGACTAGCAAAGTTGTGGGGGAAGTCGTAACAAAATTTTAAGCTTTAATTAATTGCAGTCAGTTATTTATAAAAACAGGTCTTTTCGTCATCTTGGAACACCCATGCTTTTCCATCTGTGCATTTGTTGCAGGTGAGCTTCATCACCTGTGCTGACTTTGAACAAAAAATAGGGAAGGAAAGGAAATTAAATAGAAACCAATTCTCAGTTGAGCTCCATTTGACAGGAGCATGTGTTGAGCCTTTGTTGTGATGAGTAGGTAGAAGAAATTCAGGTTGCATGAAAAAAGTTGAGTTTATTAATTAATTTGGCTCACTCATAGATTGAGGGGGCCTCAGTTTACAATACAGCACAAAAAGTTCTAATACTTGGTCACTATTTTTTTCTCAAAGCTGCAGATTTGATGAAAACCACAGAATTAGGTCATTTCACTTGTTTGGCTTTCATCAGGACCATTGCTAATCAATATAAAATCTCGATCCAACATAGATGCGGTATGCTATTGAAATTGTCTGTCAAGCCCACTGCAGAGCAAATGTCCCTCTAATCAAATGATCTTTCAATTAATGTAAACATCAACTTTAGACTTGTTACATTTGAAGTAGTTGATTACAAGTTAGAAATTTCTCAGTATATTTAACTGCATTCGCTTTCCTTCTGTCATCAGCTCATTGGCAAAATCCTTTTAATAATTTGACCACAAAGGAAGATGACTTTTTTGTGGATGCAAAAACATCAGTGAAAGTTAAAATGATGAACAGGGAAGAGGAATATAAAACTTACCGGGATGAGATGCTCGCCTGCTGGGTGGTTGAAATCCCATACAAAGGAAATGCTGCTGCCTTATTTATTCTGCCTGATGAAGGGAAAATGGAGCAGGTGGAAGAGGCTCTGTTGAAAGAAACTGTGTCTAAATGGGCAAAATCACTTGAACAAAGGTAACCATTTTACTGCTACAATGCAAATGTATGCTTGCTGTAAATAGGCTAGAATTGGAAATGACAAAACATTACATTAGGGCTAAGCTGTTCCTGCATGTAAAGCCCTGCTTGCTGGGCAGCACATTACATACTGCCAAAAGGGGGAACACTGGAAGAATTAGTGCCTCAGATACACCTCTGTGTGGCACAGTGTTTCCCAGAATGCCTCTCTTGCTTCAGCTCATTTGACTAGCAAGTTGGCTGGAACAGAGAGATGCAGAGCCATTCCATTGCCTATTCAGCACCCTTCTGTAATGGAATGCAGCCTATCATCACACCCTACACACTACTGTGATAAACCTGGTGCTAAACATAGGTTGTGAAATATCATTTGCACTAATGACTTTCTGTCAGTAATGTCGCATCTGGGCAGCAACATTCTATGTAAGGTTATGAATGTTTAGTAGCAGACGTTCAAACCCACATAGTTCTGATTAGGTGGGAATGGTTATGCAGATCTATCTTAAATGAAGGAATGTGGATGTATCTCTATTTACATATAATTATTACATAAGGTCCCGGAGATGGCAAGAGGGAGACAAGGCAAACCTGCATTTTAGCCTACATTGGAAAGAAGAAAGAGGAATGAGGCCAACTTTACAACCCGGATTACTGTCATTTTCTTTAAATAAACATTGACGTTAGGGGTATTCCACAGAAGAATCCTCTTCAAAGGGAGATTAGACTGTACAACTGAGGAGCAAAATCCAAAGACTCTTTCTCTATAGTTTTCCTCGGTCATCTCTCCCTCTTTCACATAAAACAAGAGAAACTAGCTCTTTGGACTTCAGGGACATATCCTGACTTAAATATTTGGCCAAATACGTTGTGGCAAGGCCCTTTCCTTGAACCAAGTCCAGTTTGTTAAGTGGAGTAACTAGAAATATTTTTCCTGTAACTATTTTGAAATTCAATGCCTGATACTCCTATTCAAAATCTCTTTGTTGTTAAATAACAAGACTTAATGGGTGATACCAGTTCCAGTTAACTGGTAGGGGCCTGAGCAGCTCCCTGCCCATTGTGGGCAGGGCCTGCTCTGATTGCCTGGAGCAGCCTATCTGCGGTGCCCCGGGTGCATCACAAGTTGGGGCTGCTCTGTCCAGGCCAAAGCAGCCCCTGCCTTATGAGGGGGCTGCTCCAGCCTGGCCACAGCAGGGACAGCCAGCCTCAGCCTCCGTGCGGGAACTGAGAGCCGGCAGAGCTAGACCCAGACCCAATGCAGAAGCTGGGATCCTGGAGCTGACAGAGCCAGCCTCAGCCCCAGCACTGGGGCTGCGAGCCAGCAGCCAGCCCTGCGTGGGGCTGGGCTCAGGAGCTTTGTGGACTGGGAGCTGCTCCAGATGGGCTGGAGTGATCCCCCATCTAGGATTCCAGTTAATCGGTTAACCTGTTAAATCAGATAACCTGTTAACCAGGGAATCAAAACCAATCCAGTGGTGCATTCCAGCTGAATTTCTTGGCAACTTCATTTAGAGTTGCAAACTCTTGGATATTGTTCCCTTACCCCAGCAATAGACCTCTAATATCTGAACTAACCAGGGGAGGTCTGGGCAGTGCAGAAAACATAGATTGGGTGGGAAATGGAGGAGGAAGAGTATATTGGCATCACCCTGCAATTAATATGCTAGAAGCCAACATGTGGCTGGTGTGCTGCTGACAGACTGCTGGAGTCAGAGTGGCTGGACCAGGGCTCTACGCAGACACTCAGGATGTGACCTGCATGCTTACAGGCTGACTGTGAAATACGCAAGTTGGAAACAACAGCAGCAGAGCATTGTGAGGTGCTCATGGTTTCAGGACAGATGGTAACAGAACCCCTCATTGGTCTGAACTGCACCCTGCCAGTCTAAAGGCTTCAGAAAGCAAAAGGAAGCATCATTAATGTAGCCCATTCAACACCCTGGGAACTCTAATGGGAATATATCTGCAATGCCATGCAAGATGGGAAAAAATACCTCTCTTACGTTCTCATTAGCAGCAGTGTTAGAAGTAGAGACAATCCAGCCCAAAACAAAATCATACACTTCACCAGTCTCTGTACCGGAACAAAGAATCCGAACAATAATTTTTTAAAACCAGCACAGAGGCTACATGTAGCTAAGCGAGAATAAAATGTTTAAGATTACATTTTTGCTGTGCATTTTATCCCCTATCTGTAAATGGGACAATTACATTTTTTTTGCCACAGTAGGGCTCTGTGAGGCAAAATTGCTGATAGCTGAAATCCTCAAGTGGTAAAGCTGCAAAATATTGTATCATAATTTTGTATTTCTTTTTGAAAGAGAAATCGACCTGTACATTCCAGTATTCTCTGTTTCTGGTACCTATGATGTGAAAGAGCTGTTTCAGAAGATGGGTGTGATCGATGTGTTCACTGACAAAGCTGATCTGTCTGGAATCACTGGGGAGCGTAATCTGAAGGTTTCAAAAGTAAGTTTGTAAAACAAGATGGTGCTAACTGGGTTTGTCTGTTATTATCTTTTCAAATGTCTCAGTCCAGCTTCCAGTTAGATCACCAGCAAGAGGTTCACTGCTGATGAAGAGAAGTGAGACTGGGCTGCAGCATAAGGAGAACAGGCCACAGATTAGCACTCAGTCTGTCCTAGTATTAGCCATTAATTTCCTTGTTATAGTTAACTTGGAGGCTTGGGGGTGCATCTACACAGCACCCTAAACTCAAAAGAAGATATGCAATTTGCACTATGCAAATTACGTATCTTATTTCAAAACTATTTTGAAATAGCTTATTTCGAAATTTGGGGCATCTACACAGCATCACATTTCAAAATAAGGCACTATTTCGAGCCATCCCTTAGCTCTCGTGCAACAAGGTTTACTGGGATGGCAAAATAGTGTGCCCATTATGTCGAAAAATATTTTGAAATAATGGGTGGCTTTTATAAATGCAGGGTAGGTATTTCAGGATACCACTGGTATCCCAAAATAGCTGTGCAGTGTAAATGTACCCTTGGTGAGCTCACTTGGCCTTCTGGAGAGTTCTGTGGAAGTCAGTACCATCAGGGAGGGAAAAGGACCGGGAAAATGCAATTTTAACCATTGCTATCATAAAATAATTAATATGTAAAATGGCATGATGAGAGTTTGCAAATATGGGGTCCTATGGTGTGTTTGCTATTTATATAAACTCTCTTACCAGAGTAGTTGAGTATCTTATCATCTTTAGTCTATTTATCCCCAACACCACTGTGAGGTTGGCATTTACACCCATTTTATAGATGGTAAATGAAGCACAGAGAAGCTTTGTAACAGAGAGGCTCCAGGGCACAAGGGAAATCTATGACACCATCTGTCTCAGTACGTTTACACTGATGTCTACATTGCAAGCTTATTTTGGAAAAAGCTATTCTAGAAGAAATAGAGCATCCGCACTACAGGGAATCCTCAAAATTAGTCTGAAGCAGACCCCCCCTAGGCTATGTCTACACTGTAGCCTTTTTCTGCAAAAGCTTATGCAAATGAAGCACGAAGGGGAATGTCGCCATGCTTCATTTGCATAATTAAGTAGCAGCCGCTTTTGCGCAAGAGGCTTTTGCACAAAAAGGAGATGTGTAGGAGGCTCCTTTCTGTGCGAAAACCCCTTCTTGTGCAAGAGCCATTCTTCCTTATTTTTTCGACATAGCAGCAGTGGAGCATCCACACACACCCTCTTCCAAAATTGCTTTTTCAGAAGAGGCATTATTCCTCATGGAATGAGGTTTACCAACATCGGAAAAAGCCCTCCGTTATTTTGATTTTCTTTCAAAATAATGCACTTGCTGTGTGGTATTATTTTACTGTGTAGTATTATCTTTCCGAAATAATGGTGCAGTGTAGACGCACCCTTACTGAGTAGTGCTTTATACTATGGGTGCAAATTGACAATGGACTATGAGGCTACAGAGTATCAGAATCTCACCATACAACAATAGAAGGAAATTAGAGAGACAAGGGTGGAGAGGTAATAACTTTTATTGAACCAACTTCTGCTGGTGGAGGGGGCAAGATTTCAAGATTCACACAGCTTTTCCTCAGGTCTGGAGAAGACAGCCAGAGTGTCACAGCTTGTATAACCTTGTGCCTAAAGGGCTCCTCACTCCCAGGCTGTGTCTACATTAGCATCCCTTTCCGGTAAAGGGATGCTAATGAGACACTTTGGAATAGCAAAATCCGCGGGGGATTTAAATATCCCCCGCGGCATTTGCATTTACATGGCTGCCGCTTTTTTCTGGCTTGGAGATAAGCTGGAGAAAAGCGCCAGTCTAGACGTAATTCTCCGGAAAATAAGCCCTGTTTGGTGGCACAGCACGGTAGTCTGGATGCTCCACGGTCGACATCAAAGGCATTTGTCGACTGCCCCGGTAAACCTCATCCCATGAGGCATAACGAGGTGGTCGACAAATGTCTTTGATGTCGACCACGGAGCATCCAGACTAGTGGGCAGAGCCGACAAATAGCTGAACAGCTCAGCGCGGCAGCCATTTTAATTTAAATGAAGCAGCGATTATTTAAATCGCCACTTCATTTGGGTATGTCTAGTAAACTTATCTACATGGCTCTGGTGACAGAGCTATGTAGTCTAGACATACCTAAAATGATGGTATAGCTCTCTCGCTGATTGAGAGTTAGCAAGCAGCGAGGTGTATTAGAATTTGTTAAAATGAGCCAGGTATGCAGCATGTTGTGATAGACATGTGTAGGACCCATGGCCTTGAAACGATAAAAGATAAAAGCAACTGTGAGTAAACATTTTTCACAAAGTGATCTCTCTATGTCCCAACTTGCCTTTAGCTATGACACTCTGGTGATATTCTCTGGACCTAACAATGAGCTTTGTGAAACTTGGAAGCTTTCCCCTTCCATGAATAGAACTATGTTCAATAACTACTATTACCTCACCTTCCTTGTATTTCCCATATCCTGGGACAAACACTCTTACAACAAAACTGTAATGCAAAGAAACAGTAATTTGAGGAACATTAAGTACAACGTGAGAATTAATTTTATGGGAAGCTCCAAAGAGTAAAATAGATCCACATTTGCACTATGAAATACCAAGTCACTGTAATCAAACCAGAAATATAAGGCACAGAACTGGGGGGTCAACTACCTATCTTCTTTCCCTCCTGTGTTGCTTATCACCATTCATCTTGAAAGGTCTTCTATTTTCTACAGCAAACTAACTCCCTGATGCACAAAGATAGTAGAGATTGTTTATTTGTAATGACAAGACATTCCTTCTGTATTGTTAATTAATAATTAAGAGAGGCCCCCTCTTTGTATGATGAGGAAACAGGGGATTTGATACAATCAATTTAATCTGTTAATATAGTTGTGCCTGACATTTTCAGATATTCATGGGCAAAACTCCAATTGAAAATGGAGGGAGTTTGAAATTTCTCTGGGTTGGGAATGCAAGGATGGGGTATATGTTGTATTGTCAGTCTTGTACTCATTCCATTCTTCTTTCTTTAGACCTTGTCTATACTGGCATGTTTTGTTGCCAAAAACTGGTTTACACTGCAATACGACTTTTGTCAGTAAAAACATTCAATTTGGGTAACAAAAAATTTCCAACCCTGCAAGATGTTTTTATCTTTTCCCCTCCCTTTCATGTCAACAAAAACTCAGTGAGGGCTCTGCTGTTTTGCCCAGAGAACTAGCTTTTGCCAGTATCCCACAGTGCCTGCCCTGAGATCCGTTATCTCTGCTGCCCTGCATGCATGCACCCCTCCCCATTCAAAGTTCTCACAGCTAAGTGAGCTTTTCCTTTTGGGGAACAAAAAAGAGACAATCAACGGAATGCTTCTGCTCTGTCCTGTACTAGGAACACAACCTTCCCAGTGTATACATAGTCTTACTTTATTAACATCTGTGTTTTAAATACGAGCAAGTTTGTCTCCAACTATTGCTACCTGTTTTATGCTCACTCAGACTGTGATCTTTGTTTCATTTCCTTGTAGGCTGTTCACAAGGCCCTGGTGGATGTTCATGAGAATGGCACTGAGGCTGCAGCAGTTACTGTTGTGGAAATTATGTTTATGTCTGCTCCCATTGATGATCCTCCTACCATTAAGTTCAACCGTCCTTTCATAATCATTATTATTGATAAAACCACCTGCAGCATGCTCTTCCTGGGGAAAATAGTAAATCCTACTGAAAAATAATTGTTTTGCCATTGTATATGTTCCAGTGCTTCAAAGGAGCTGGATTTAAATCTCCTGGAGCATGTCCATGTAGTACAGACCTGTTGGTAGTAGTGACTGAAACTAACCTGCAATTGACATGAATTCTAAACAAATAAAACATGAGTGTGGTAACTCCTTGCATACAAACAAACATCCTAATATATCTGTGCATTGGGCAAGTTTTAGTAAATGCTCAGATAAATGTGCAAGCCCTTGCAACTGATGCTAATAATAATTGGATGGGGGCAGCTTCTGAGTAGAGGATAATCTCCCCCAGCCTCCTATAGTCCAGCCCCTTGTGTTTCAAATTCACTAAAAGGACACTGAGGCAGCGATGCAAGGAGATCACAGGAAACTGGTTTGTCTGGGTAAGGGAGGTTGGTGGAGATGTCAGAAAATAAAATCCTGCTTGATTCCCCTCTGCTGTCCTTCTCCCCTTTTCAGAATTTCACACTTAAAGGGTAAGTTGGACGCGTGCGCAGTTTCTCTCTCTGTGACCGTTTCATGGTTCTCTCCTAGTCCCAAACTCTCTATCAGAAGTCTAGCTTTCCCCACATCACCTCCCACTACATTGTGCCAACTCTGATTCCACTCGGGTTCCTTACACTCAACCTTGCCAGCCTAGGTCCTCCTACTCCTGGGACCCTCTCTGGTCCCTCTAGTCCAGCCCCCAGCTCAGAAATCCCATCCCCACCATATATATCTGTCTCTTTCAGGCTGAGAACACCTCTTCTTCTTATCACATCTCTCTTAAACCCACAGCAACCCCTTTTCACCCTGAAACCCTCTCCCAAATGAAACTCTATGGATCAGAACACAAAAGTATGCAAAACTCTTAGAAACCTTTCTCAGGGTCATAGTCCTTCCCAGTCCACACTGACAGCACCATTGAGTTCAGAATCCCTTTTCTCTACAGGTATGTCTACACTCCAGAGCTTTGTCGGGAAAAAGACCATTTTTCTGACAAAACTTGAATTACATCCACACTGCAGTCGCATTATTTCAAAAGTAAATCGAAATAACAAAGGGTTTTTTCTGACAGCAATACACCTCTTTCTACGAGGAAGAATGCCTTTTCCGAAAGAGCTCTTTTGGAAAAAGGTGTGTGTGGATGGGAAGGAGGGTTTTCTTTCAGAAGAAGAGGCCTCCAGGAAATAGCACAGGTGCCCTGGTGGACACTCCATCCAAAGTAATCACAACTCTATAGTTCCTGTCTCCTGGAACCTCTTAAAGCTGCAGGCACCCTGGACAAGCCTTGTGGCAGGAAGCCGGCCTTAGAGCAGCCCCCTGACCATGCGGCTCTCCCTGCCACAAGCCTGCTTTCTGATGGCACAGCCACAAGCCCCCTGAGACCTCCTGGCCCTCACAGGGAGTAGCCCCAGGGGTCCCAGGAACCACCCAGGGGGACCAAGAGACAGGTACCCTTCTGGTTTGGAGTGGAGAGCCTGTTCCTCCTCAAGCTGTGGGGTGAGGAGAAGACGAGAACAGAAATTTCTAAATTAAACTTTATTGGACATAAAGTCCTTTGGAACATTTCTATTTTGATGTATCAGCATTTCCTAGTGGAAATACATTTCACTTGAAAATTTTCAACCAGCTCTAGCAAACACATTCTAGCACGGTTTAAAACTCTAGTATAAGAAACCAAGTGGTTCTTTAGCACATACTAGCCAAGTTGAAATCTAACTGGAAATCTGTTACCTACTTGGACAGATAAAGATAGGAAAAAAGCAAAATCATAAGTTTTTGATATGTGAAAACCCTTTAGAGTTGAGTTATTCCTCTATTTATGATGCTATAGAAATCTCATCACCATTTCTTAAAGCTCACTACATTATAGTACTGAAAGTTAAGATGGGTGACTTAGTTTTGATGTTCCAGATATGGCCCTTCCCTACAATCTTCACTTAGCTTAGTGTACCATAATGTAATTTCGATCAAGATTCTACTGCTAAATTCTCTCCCAGCCTACCTTCACCCAATTCCCTTTCACAACCTCCCCCTCCACAAGACACCCTATTCTAGGGTGGAGAGTGCCAGAATGGCACAACTAAGATGGTGCTAATTGAGGAATCCAGCACCAAGTCTGTTCCTACTTCACACTTTTTCCTATCTCTGATTCCCAACATGCTTTGGGTTCCCAACTCCTGTGATTCTATCATCAGCTCCACTCCATTCCCCCCACCCCCATCACATACAATCTCCCAACTGGCTGGAGAGAGGTGAATTTGCCACGAGGGTAGAGAGAAAATAACCATTTAATCACAAATAGCATAGGGAAGGAGGGAACATTTCCATGAGTAAGGACTATTGCATTCTTTTGTTTTTCAAGAATATAGCTGTAAAGGAAAATGAAATTCATCCTCTGACTGTGTCTGTTACTTGCTGGGCTTCTTGTGGTTGTCCAGCCTCATCATGTATCTGACCACCATGATGACAAGCATAGTCAGACAGTTATTAATCCCCCAGAACAGCTTTTCCCAGTCAGAGGCAATGTCAGAAGTGAAAACACCACCTTTATGCAAGTAGTTGCTAGCAATGCGGACTTTGCATTTAAATCTCAAGAACATTTTCTTCTCTCCTCTGAGCTTTTCTACTGCCATTACTGGGCTGGGAAGGAAGCCACGGCCATTCCGCTTTTGAAAGGGGGAGAACTAGGCCGTCTGCTTTTTAATATGTACATAGTTTGGAGGGAAGCAGCACCAGTAGGGGGCTGCATTTCGCAGTGAGAGGAGCTGATCGTGCACTGTAGGGGTGGGATGGCAGTTGGTGGGAAGGGCAGAAGGAGGATGGGCTGCATGACTAGTACTTGTTAACCTACCGGCAAGTGCATGAGGCTCAGGGGATACCATGTGGGGAGTGGTTAAAGAGCACGGGGGAGAAAGGGTTGCAGGACAGGACTGCAGTTGGAGGAGGCTTTACTGTTAGAAAATATGGGTAAATGGGCAAACTTACTTAAACAAAGGTAACCATGTCACTGCTAAAATCCTGATGCATGTTTGTTGCAAAATAGGTTAAAACTGGAAATGACAAAAAAAGAAAGAAAGAAAGAAAGAAAGAAAGAAAGAAAGAAAGAAAGAAAGAAAGAAAGAAAGAAAGAAAGAAAGAAAGAAAGAAAGAAAGAAAGAAAGAAAGAAAGAAAGAAAGAAAGAAAGAAAGAAAGAAAGAAAGAAAGAAAGAAAGAAAGAAAGAAAGAAAGAAAGAAAGAAATTACATTACATACACCAATCACAAAGTTCCTGGTGTAGTCTCTTAGCAGAGAGGGTATGCCTACACTACCACCCTAGTTCGAACTAGGGTGGTAGTGTAGGCATACCCAGATGGAATAAACTGCTATCTTAAAAGTGTCTGGAATACATCCTGCATTAGTATGGGTCATCAATCCTTTATGGGCCATTTGATCATAGAAAAAGATGTTTCTGAAGTGAAGAGCTGGAGTGAAGACAAAGATGGAGCAATCCCTAGGGCCATTTTTATAATCTTGCCCATGTGGAGGGAAATCCCTTGTTCTCATTGTGTGGAAGTACTTCTCAAAAAGGAGTTTGTCATACAAGCAAGTCACCTGTCTATGTCCTTTTTAGGCAAGTGGCCTCAGAGTTGAATTGGCATCACTTATGGGCCATTGTCCACGAAGCACGCTATTCACTTGAGTAGACACTCTTCACAATAGGTGAGCTATGCCTGTTTGCTCTCTCTCCGAAGCAAAAACCTGAAATACCCGTACATAGCCAATATTTACAATTTTAAATATAAAAATCATACATGCACGTGGATAGTATAAACATACTCAGCAAAGCATAAGATTTCAATAAACAAATCACTTTGCCCAAACTGTGAACCATGGCCCAAATGTGGGTTGCAACACAGTCCCAGGTGGTTTGCCAGCAGAGGCAGAAACTGAGGAGCACATGTAGGAGTGTAATCCACCCCACCCCTACCCCTCACTGCATCTTTCCTCTCCCCTTCTGATCCTGCTCATCAGCACAGCTCTAGGATACATAGCCCTGTGCACTTGTCCTGTTTTACAGAGCATGTGTAGGGGGTAGTTTAAGGAGTCTGGGAAAAGAGGGATTTTTCACGGTGGGAGGGAAGTTGGTGAAGGGGTGTAAAAATGATATTTTGCAGTGGGAAGTTAGGGACCTCCCTCCCCAAAGCACTGCCCTGTTCCCCCATCCCTGTTTTCCAT